TTTATACGGAACCAAAAATGACCCCGAATAGCTACGGCATCTTGAGAAGGAAGAACAAAGTTGGAGGGATCACAATACCAGATATCAAGTTATACTACAAAGCCACTGTAATCAAAACAACCCGGCACTGGTACAAGAACAGACATATAGATCCATGGAACAGAACAGAGAACCCAGAAATTGACCCATGCCATTATGGTCAATTAATATTTGACAAAGGAGGCAAGAACATACAATGGAGTAAAGACAGTCTCTTCAATAAATGATATTGGGAAAATTGGACAGGTACATGCAAAAAAATAAAACTAGACCACCAACTTACACAATACACAAAAATAAACAAAATGGATAAAAGACTTAAATGTAAGACATGAAACCATAAAAATCCTAGAAGAAAATGTAGGCAGCAAAATCTCAGACATCTCTCATAGCAGTATGTTTGCCGACACATCTCCTAGGGCAAGAGAAACAAGGGAGAAAATAAACAAATGGGACTGCACCAAAATAAAAAGCTTCTGCACAGTGAAAGAAACCATCAACAAAACGAAAAGGGAGCCCACTGTATGGGAGAACATATTTGCCAGTGACACATCTGATAAAGGGTTAATATCCAAAATATATAAGGAACTCATACAACTTAACAAAAGGAAGACAAACAATCCAATTAAAAAATGGGCAAAGGACCTAAATAGACACTTTTCCAAAGAGGACATACAGATGGCCAAGAGACATATGAAAAGATGCTCAATGTTGCTAACCATCAAAGAGATGCAAATTACAACCACAATGAGGTATCACTTCATACCTGTCAGAAGGGCTACCGTCAACAAAACAATGAATGACAAGTGCTGGTGAGGGTGTGGAGAAAGGGGAACCCTGGTACACTGGTGGTGGAAATACAGATTTGTGCAGCTACTTTGGAAAACAGTATGGAGTTTCCTCAAAAAATTAAAACTTGAACTGCCATTTGACCCAGTGATCCCACTTCTAGGAATATATCCTAAGAGACACGAAACACTAATCAGAATGAACTTATGCACCCCTATGTTCATAGCAGCACAATAGCTAAGATCTGGAAACAGCCCAAGTGCCCATCAGTAGATGAGTGGATAAAAAAGCTGTGGGACATTTACAGCATGGAATACTATGCAGCTGTAAAAAAGAAGAATCACTTATCCTTTGGGATGGCATGAAGGGAACTGGAGAGTATTATGCTAAGTGAAATAAGCCAGTCAGGGAAAGACAAACACCACATGATCTCACTCATATGTGGAATATAATGAACAAAATAAACTGATCAACAAAATAGATCCAGAGACATAGAAGCATGGAGCAGACTGAGGGATCTCAGAGGGAAGGTGGGGAGGGGGGAGTGGGTGGGGAGAGATTAATCAAATAACTTAAATGTTTATAAGCAAAACTCATGGACACAGACATTGGTCTGCGGAAGGCCTGGGGGTAGGGTGGATGCGAAGTGGAGGGGATCAATGGGGGGATAAAGGGACATCTGTAATACTTTCAAAAATAAAGGTTAAAAAAAAAGATCACTTTGGATGAACCAAGAAAATATATTTTAGGCTTTTTCTTTCAAAATGCAAATTTTCTCTGGAGTAATTATCAAACAATCAGACCTTAGGATTAATTTAATTTTTAGGCCCCTGTGCTTTAGAATGGGGCACCAAGAAATGCGAATATTGTCATGGGGGAGGAATGGTTTGGGAGGAGGCTTCGCTCTAGTATGAATATCTTAAGAGGAAGGTGGTAACCAGAGGGCAGCGCGAGGGATTTGCATGCTTTAGGATGGTGCTGGTGGGGGGGAAGATAGAATGAAGGCAGTTTTTCTAGGTACCTTTTTTGGTCCCCCGATGGTTTTCTGTCCTGATCCCCAGCAGGTCAACTTGGTTCTATCCTTCAGCCTTAGCCTTGGCTCTGCAGCGCATGAAGCATAACTTTGGTTTAGATGAAGCATCTTGGTGGCCACTGACTTTCTCCCTCTGCTCTGAGCATTGACTGGCTCTAGGCAAAGCTGCTCCCTGTGTGAAATATGTACTTTTCCTGAGGGTTTCCCTGACTGGACTCAATGCTTGAGGGTTGTTGGCTGTGGGGATGAAGGATAGAAGACCTTAGAGAACCCTCTTGTTCCCTTCAGGCTCTATATCCCTTCCAGGATGAAGTCTGCCCTGGGACTGAATTTGGGAGCTTGGCTGTTTGGACTTACACTTTGTGAGACTGTCCCTAGTGCCACTTTGATGGGCCTCTGTACACAGTTGGTGCCCAAGAGCTGACTCTCCTTAAGGCAGGTCTGTGGGCAGGTGTCCTCTGGCTCAAAGCTGGCTTGCTCCCTGTTCTGATGAAAAGAGGTGTACAATTTACGCTGAGCACTGCTATTGGGAGAGGAAAGGAAAGCAAAGGGCCTTTTTGCTTCAGGGAAGAGAACCACTGTCAGGCCTCAGAGCCCTTTTAGTTCACAGGGAGAAGGCCTGGGGTCGTGCTTTTTTTCTCTGATGGTGCCCAGGGCAGAATTACCACCAATACCAGGGATATAATTGTGTCAGAACCCAGGGGCTACAGTGACTCAAAAGAAAGGACAGTGAGAACGCCGGGTATCTCTTGGGTTGATTATTTCGACTGAACACTCAAAAACGGAGTAATGGAGTTCGGAAGCCACAGAAACAAGCTGAAACCACAAAAATTATGCCCAACACCACAGGACGGCCGGGCTCACTACTGTATGCCGACCTTGCAAGTTGGAGCCCACAGATTCAACTTGGCTTACACACATTTTGTTTGGCCCACATGCATATTTAAAATTTAGTTGGCAACATTAAAAATATTGGAAATTTCACTTAAATGTTTGCATTTCTGGCTTCTCTTGAAAAATCAGATAACTGCCTGGTAGCCGTGGTCTGGAAGGGAGCAGCAGCTGCCCTCTGCTCTCCCATTTCCACACTCCTGGCTCTTCCATGCATTAGAACAGGCCCACCTCGCCACCGGAAATCACCTGCCTGTGGCCTGTAGGCATTTGTGACCCCTGATACAGGGTCACATGGTATCTGCTAGGGAAGGGCTGGGGGACAAAGCCTGACTGTTAGTGGGCTTGAGACAACACTAATAAAAAGCTATGAGGCAATCGCAGCTGTGATGAGAAGGATTTCTATGGAGAAATGGGGACCAAAGCAGGGTCCCACAGCTGTTGAGGGAGAGGGCAGGGCAGTCACAGGAGCCTGGGAACTTTGATGGGACAATGCGTTTATCTTGGTAGCCCTTATATACGGGAAAGACAGTTTCCTAAGTGTGCACTGCGCGCCCGTCCAGCCAGGGAGGGTGAGCGGGGAGGGACAGAAGACAAATCACTTGGCATCTTTCCCCTTCACCTTGCCCTACGGGTTAGCTCCAGTGTTTTCTTTCCTTCTTTCTTTGGCACCACTTCATATGGTTAGGTCGTCAGACCTGGCCCGGCTACCGGCCTTGCTCAGCCCGCTCAGGGGGCCGGTGTCACCGCCAGGCGGCGCTGCGCGCGGGGACGGGGCC